CCTGTTGGCAAGAGGACACGGCGTCCAGCGACCAATCCCCTTTGCCTCCTCAATTGGCGGCTGATGAGATTCGATAAAATTCCCTCCTTGTCCTGCTTCTCGAAGGGGAGCCTCGAAAAAGTTGGGCCATGCCAGCTCGGAAAAAGGCCAATTTTCCACCGACATCGGCCAACCCACCTCGAAGCTCCTACCCTCCACCACGGGCTCGAGTCCCTCATTCGGGTAGCAACTCCTTGAAACTCGTGAGGCTGGCAGCGAGCGCGGCCACTGAAACAACAAACTTAAACGCAACCGTAACATCCCTGCTCCTTTGATCTTATATGCACAGATCCGCTCCATCGGCCAGGACTCTATCGCACGACCAGCATAGCGGCCCGTGGAAGGGTCTTGGACTGCCCTAGATGGGAGGCTGATGTCGTCGGCCTGCAGCGTCCATGGGAAGGAAGGTCAACTTGTCCATCTCCACTTATGTCTGCTCACAGTAGACTTTTGCTGGGCTGGCGGAATGAGCACACCCTTCAGAGGACTCAAGATATGTGGCCACTCCGGCTATCCTCCTTTCCAATATGGCCATAGTAACAAGGTGCGTTGGACACTCACCACAGTAACCAGTCTCAAAAGCCTACTTGCAAACGAAAACACTAAGAAGTCTAATCATAGGGTGAAGAGGGACTGGTGGTTGAACTTTACTAAAATGCCATCAATAGGCTTCATGTCTTCAGTGAATTTTGCATAGCATTGATCCACAAAAGGTATTCTCATCGAGGATGGACTAAATGGTCAAATTTGCCCTGGTCGCCTCAGCTACTTGAACCCGCCTGATGCAAAGTACAATCGAAAAAAAGTCACCAAGCTAGTGGGAGAATTATATTACTAGTCCCTCATCACCTTATACGAACTAGGATGAGTGGAGCTCTTGTTTAAGCTTTAGTGATGTCTCCAGAAGTAAAAATTGTATCCTACGTCGAATTTACAGAAAACCTCTTCTGATGCGCCTAATTCCTCAGGGACCTAAATTATTATCCAAAAATGTGCGAGCGTTTTTAAACCTATTCGTAATGAGTATAATATAAGACACTTTTAGAGTATAAGTCAAGAATATATTTTTACTCAAATATGAAGAATATGATATTGAGACCTAAGGTTTGAATTAGCAACTTTTAACTGTATTTTGTTAGTTTGATTTGTCTTTCGTTACTTTATCGATGCGTAAGGAAGACCTTGCGGAAGGAACCTAATTCTGCATCCTCCGCCGTAAAATAATGTGTAAATTCCGGGCTTGGACCAGAATTTCCTCGACATTTTGCCGACATCGTAGTCGTCTGGGAGGTACCCACTTATCGATCCGATGCTGAAACTGATTTTTAAAGGACGTTCGACAAAGATTTCTTGTCATTCCGACTGAGTTGCAAAATGGCGTCAAATCAACATCAAGTCTAGTGAAAACCTTAATGAAGTTGACTCCAAGCTCTCCATCTAAAAGTATGTAAATCAAATAGAAATTTTTCTTTCCCGATTTTCCCCCCGCAATATTAAAATAAAATGGTTTTTCATTTTTAAGCATTTTCGAGACTGCCAAATTTGTTGGTTTCAACCGCTTTTCCGAATTTCCGTTTGACAACAGAAACACCATAATCTAGAAAAACCGTTTTCAGCTTATAAATAAAAAGAATGGATTTTTTCCGCCAAATCGATTTAGAATCGGATTTATTGTCTAAGAAAAGCATTAACCACAACTATTCTGTTAAGGAAAACAATCAGCAAAACAATTAAGATGGCCAGGATACATAAATGCTTATTTAAGATGTTGTGGTTGTTACGACACAAATTCGTCTTGAATATGAGTTGATTAACTTTCTAAAAATATGTGTAGAAAGTTTGAGTTTATTGATATTCAACTCATGGACATTATTTCGATGTCCTTAAAGTCTATTGATCTTTTGAAAAAAGAGTTCTTTCTTAACATACCAAGCTATAAGAGCTCTAATCACCGTTGGTCGTATAAGGTGATGAAGGACAGATAGATGTGTTATCCTTAAAGGATTTAAGCAGGCCTTACGTTTAAATTGAATTCCGCTCAGACTTGCTTCCAAAATGTTTTCTCATCCAGCCAGAAATAGACTACAGTTTTGACTCAACAGCCCCCACAATGGGACTCGAACATGGAACCATTTCACCACACACACAGCGACGAATGCCAGTGTTTCATGGGAGCAGATGCGACTTTGAAGGTAAGTCAGGCCTCTGCCAGATCAGATTTATAATCAGATTGCCGCTTGCCATTAAAATCGTCGACATTACGTATATTCAGCATCAATAACTTTATAAAACCTCATTATTTAGCACATTTAACGACTAATAGGGAAGTTTATCCATAGCGAACTTGCGTGATTACATCCCTATTTAATACTGATCGTTTTTAAGCCTACTCCTACTGAATAAAGAAGTTAAATTTTGAAATAATTAGAAACCTGATGGTCGCATATGTTTAATAATTTTGAGTGAGTTTGCTCAAAACGAAGTGATGAGAATGCCTCATTTTTGCACTTTACTTCACCTCCAAAATGGCCACTCTCAACTACGGACTCGACTTTCTCATCAACTTCTCGACACCAACAGCGAGATTCCGCCCATGCAGAAATGAGCTACAAGAAACGCGATCCTGGTCCTACTTATTAAATAATGAACGTAATGAGATGTATTCACCCTATTTCGTGTAAGGTGATGAAGGACTGGTAGTAGAATTTTCCCACAA